ACCCTATCACCATCAATCAAGTGGTGGGTTTTGATCCACGATCAGGCAGAGTACTTCCATCGCCCCCACATTCCCAGTGCCCTCCACCCGCCTCCAGGGCCCACACCTCTGCATCTCCCAGGAGTCATGTGATTGGAGCGACACATACTGTGGGCCGGTCCCTTCAATCTGAGTGCTCTTTCGTGACCCTGCATGTCAAGCAAGACCCCAGGGAGGCCTGAGAATCCATGGGTCTGAGTCATCCAGTTGCCCAGGCAGAGAGGGAAGGGAGGTTGCTCGGGGCTAGGAGAGGGACTGGTGCTTAATGGACTCAGAGCTTCCGTCTGGGGAGAGGAGAAATTTCTGGAGTTGAAGGTGGTGATGAAGGTACAATGTGCCCGTGTGCCCTTGCATGCGATATGTGTGTATTTCACCACAACTGAGAGAAAACCTCTTTTCTCCCCTTAAACACACGCTACATGGAACTTCATGTCTGTGGTTGAGGACCTCTGTCTCCTGATGCTCGTGCATGGCCTGGTGCCCGGGGCCCTCCTGGCAGCTCATCCTGGGACCTCAGCCCCATTGTGCCCACAACGTCTTCTATGCCTGCTGCCAAATCTCATCAGTAGAGGTTCCGCTGAGAGCCACCTCCTGAGATGATGCCATGGGCTCCAAGCTCTGATGGTGATGACCCAGATAGCCAGCCCTGAGATCATGAGGCCTCACCTGAGGGGTCAGCTGGGGGTGCCAGGCGGGCATGGGTGGCTGCACCCCACTACTCTCAGTCGCTGCTGAGTTGCAGGTGGAGCCTGAGACACAGTCCTTTGATATAATGTCCTCAGAGGGCAGCAGGCTGAGCGCAGGATGCCCTGGAGAGCGGGCGTTTAGGTCCCAGCATGGCCCAGCGCATATGTGGGCCTGAGCTGCCCCGGTCAGTCACCCCTCCCAGCATGCCACTCATGTGGGGGCAGACCCTCATCCCCACCAGAGAGGCAGACTGGACATCCCTGGTTGAGACCACCTTCTGGGGTCATACGATGTGCACTTGAGGCATGCTCATGTGGTGATATGCACATGTGGTGTGCATGTATGATGTGCCTATGTTGCTTGCATGTGTGGCATGCACGTGTGGTGTGCATGTGTGGTGATGTGCTTGCATGGTGTGTATGTGTGACATGCACAGGTGGCTCTAACCCCACTCTGTCTTCTGGGAAACGGACACAAGCATGGCCCCTGTGGGGTTCATCTGTGCGTCCTGGCATGGTCTTTGCCCCATGCCACCCCTCAGGTTGCCAGTGAGGAAGCCATGACCGTCTGGGTCAGAGCTGGAGCTGCCGAAGCTGCACCATGTGGGACATAGTCCTGCAGTCCACATTCTACGTCCAAGGGAAGCTGGCATGTGCGGGACTGACTCTGTCCTTTAGGGCCCCCCCACACGTCTTCTCCTGTTGTTTCTAACCTGAAAACACCCGAGTGCAGGAGGGTTGCAAGACAAGTTTGGGATATGTGTTGCCCTCCAACTGGGCCTGCCCAGCTCTGCCTGGCACTGTGCCCTTTGTCCATGTGACCCATGGCTGCCTGCCCTCCGTGGATCTGCCCACATTTTTTTCTGAACCATTTGAGTGTTGCAGACATCACGCTCCTGGCCTGTCAAGACCTCTGTGTCTTTCCTGGGAACAGGGATGGCCCTTGGCAGGGATGTGGCTGGGTGCAGCCCCAGGCCCAGGACAGAGATGTGGGGAAACAACCAATGACCTGATCTCACTGGGACTGATTTCCTCCCGTGGAAGCCGGTCTCAGCTGCCTCTCCTGTGGGATTCTGGCAGCCCCTGCTGGCCTAGGTGTTCATGAAGTTGCTTTGAGACGATGTGCCCAAGGGCATCCCCTCACGAGCCAGACATGTCCCCTGGTCCCTCACCCTGCCTTGGGAGGGAGGTGTGCCCTTGGGTCAGGGCTCATCCAGGTGAGAGCACTTCTCATGCACTAAAAATGAAAGTTTTCTGAGAAAACAAAGGAGGAGGCAGGGAGGCTGAGCCCATACAGGCAGGATTCCATCGGCACAGAAGACTGCAGCCATGAGATTACAAAGGTACCCTCTGCATTGGAGTCTCCAGAAACCGTTTCAAAGGACGAAGTTGCTGAATTGGAAACCCGGTGTCTGGGCGTCCCAGGTCTCTGCTGTGTGGATCCCTGGATACGTGTGTGCACACATCCAGTTCCCAGATGATGAACATGGGACCCTGCCGTCTCACAGTCTGGGACTTAGCCCTGAGGCCAGCAACACAGTACCAGTGCCACCAGATCTCATCACACTCAGGCCAAAGCAGAAGGTGGGCCTGGACCCAGAGAACCACACACGATGCCAGGATGCATGAGCAGGGTCGCGTGGGTGGGTGGGTCAGAGGACCATCCTGGGGAGCCCAAGAGCTCTCTGAAGGTCCTCGAGCTTCCAGTTCCCCATTCACTCTGCTGGCACTGGGCCAGGTCCAGGCCTTTGGTGCCCCATCCCCTCTATGGCCTCCCCCTACCCCCCAGTCCTGGCTCCACACTCAGAAACCTCTAGCTAGAGCTGGGACTGGGGGTGACAATGGAGGGGGGCAGGGCACCTGCCAGTAGCCACTCCTCTAAGTTGCTTGGAAGTGATCACCAGGTCACTTCACTTCTCAATCTGACTTGGGTTTGCAAGTGCCCAGGTCAGACCTCATGGGGGTGCAGGGCAGTAGGCCTGGTGGGAGGCATGGGGACAGGAAGGGCTCCCCTGTTCTGGCGAGAGGGGCCAACAGCCCAACACATTCAAACGCGGTCACGGGCGGGAGGGGCGGAGATGCATGGCTGAGAGCGTCCAGCCCCTCTCGGGCCATGCATCACCGTCCGAAAACAGTGAACGTTCACCCAGATCTGCCAGACGGCCCTGAACCCACAGGGGACAATGAACTCCACACCCCAGGACACTCTTGACAGAGGGCAATGGTGGGGCAGGAGGCGAGGAGGCTGAGGCCAAGGCTTCCCTTATGAGGAATGTTCTTTTCAAGTGTAAGAGCCACTTGTGTCCAGGACCTCGAGAAGCCCCAGAGCTGTCAGCATCAGATGGATGCCGCCTGTGACCAGCGCCCAGGCATGCAGCCGAGCCTGCTAAAGAAAAAGGAAAACTCATTCTCTGAGGCACAGGGGAGCCAGTGAGCATTCAGCACATGCTTGGCCAGCACAGAGCCCACAGGCACTGAAGGCGAGTCCCAAGTCCATGCTTGCCACGTGTCTGTAAGGGATGGGACTTGGCCAGAGTGGCCTTGCAGTGTCCAAGGGACAAGGTCAGGCAGAGGGTGTATCAGAGGCAAAGCGACACCATATAAGTGTCCAATCCTGAGGGCAGGGAAGGGCCACGGGACTCAGAGCCACACTTCCCAGGGCTGGGGCAGAGCTGTCCTGTTGCTCCTTGGCTTGACTGCTATTTGTTTTTGACAACTGCAAAAGACCACATGGCACTGGAGAGCCCAGGGGCAGGGAGAGGTGGGTGTTGAACAGTGTCACCGGTGGGCAGCAGGCACTGATCCTCCCTTGCCGACCTGATCAGTTATGTCAAACCTTCTGAAGGGCCAAGTGGCTGCTGCCCCAGCCCCTCGAGGCCAGCTGGGGAGACTCCCCTCCGCAAAAGCTGATCAAAGACAGAAGCCCGTGTAGGAAGACAAAACCTTAAAGGAAGCAGAGCAATTTTTCTCACCCTGTTGGCCACGCAGAGCTCCCTGTCTGCTATGGCCTTTGGGAAGGGGCGGGCTCTCGCTAGAGAAGAGACAGAGCTCTGACTCATCCCCCTCAAGTAGCTGTTGGGAGGATCCCCACCGGGGGACACCTGTAGCCACGGGCTCTGCACAGGCCAGGGTGGGGCTGGAGTTCAATTCTATCCCCACTGCCCACCGCAGGGTGGCCAGTGGAGTTAGCTAGGGCCCAGAGAATGACAAGCAGGTGACACCCTGCCCAAGCCCAGAGGCTTCCCTGCCAATACACTACACCTGTGGGCTCCCTGGGCAGCCTCAGAACTGCTGTTGGTGCTGGAGCTGGGCAAGCAGAGGGGACAGCTGGTTGCCCCAGACCCTCTAGCTGGGCAGAGGCGGGAGACTCTGTCCAGATCCTTCACCCTCTGCCTTCCTCAGCTCAACCTGGAGTGGAGGAAACCCTACACCTCAAGGCTACCCATGTCCTAGTGCCAAGATACCACCTGAAGTGCCATGTCTGCCCTGACTTCCCCTACAGTCACAGCCTCTGTCTGCTCAGCCCTCCCTTCCAGCGCTGGAATCTTCCCTACCAGGCTGCCTGGCCAAGCTGACTCCCAAGGAGGTTCCATCAGGGTTCCCATGGCACTCTGCTCAGGCACTCTGCTCAGGCTCCTAGAGGGCCTTGGTCATCCAGCTCCAGTTGTATTCACCTCACCACGTCTTCCTGCTTGCCACGCCCAGAGCCTCACAATCTTCCCAGCAGAAACATCATCACCACCAATAACAATGGCAGTAATAGTACCTGTGGATGCTTTTACGTGCCAAGGACCTCGAAAACACTTCCCACAAGTTCTCTCTCAAAAACTTTTTGCCAGCCTGGGGGCTTCTCTGCAGAGGCAAGTGACATGGCCTCTTGGGGGCACGGAGCTTTTGAGATACTGGCGAAAGGGACCTCTCCATTTCAACAGGCTAGTGCCAACACACACAAGCACACACAACACACACAGACCTCAAGGAAGCTGGGGACGTTGGAGGCCCTCCACGGGCCCCAGGGAGGTCACTGTCGGGGCTCCAGGTCCCTTCAGTGGAAGGAGGGGTGAGCTGGTTGCTGAGGCCAGGCAGCTTGAGGTCAGGCTGCTCCTCAGAGGCCCCACACCCTCCCAGCTTCAGAGGGGCCATTTCAGGGCACCCCCAGCTGCCTGCACCCATGTGTAACCACAGACACCACTTGGGGATGAGGGAGAGGGGAGCAGAAGGCTGCCCTCTTAAGCCCCACCTGGCGCCAGCCCCGTCTCCTCCAACCCATCTCACCTGGATGACGACCTTGACGGTGGCAGTGTGGACGATGGGAGTGCACACCAGGCCGCCGGGGTGCTGGCCGTCGGCGCTGCGGTTCTGCTGGCCCATGGTGAACAGCATGGGCACAGCCAGCAAGCCTGAGGCCAGCCAGATGGCACCAATGAACCTCTTGGTTCGGCTGCGGGACATGAGGGTCTTGGCCTTGAAGGGGTGGCAGATAGCCAGGTAGCGCTCCACGCTCAGGCTGGCCACGTTGAGGGCCGTGGCGTAGGTGCAGGCATCGCGAAGGAAGTAGTAGCCACGGCAGCCAGCGTCGCCAAAGGCCCAGGGGTGGTGCACCCAGATGAAGTTGTACAGCTCCACGGGCATGGCCAGCAGCAGGGTGAGTAGATCAGACATTGCTAGGCTGCCCAGGTGATAGTGCACGGTGCTCTGCAGGCCCTGCAGCGGCCGCTTGCGCGCCAACGTGAAGGCCGTCACGGCGTTGCCCACCGCGCCCACCGCGAACAGCGCCAGGTACACGGCGGTCACCAGAGCCTTGGAGTAGATGTCGGTGTTCACGTCCAAGTCACTGCTGGGCGCCGCTGGGGAGCGCTCCGACGCGTTGCCCGAGCCGTTGCCGAGGGCCGGGGCCAGCAGCGCCGCCTCCAGCCCCGACTGCATCCGCTGGAAAAGGTCGGCAACCGGCGCGCCCAGCGCAGAGTCGTTGAGGCGCATGGTGGGCGCGGAGTCCGCAGCTCCGGGGCTGGAAGTCCGGCGAGAGGGCGCGTCTAGAGCGGGGACTGACGAGGGGCCACCGGGAGGGCGTGGAAGGGCGAGTGGTGCGCCGTTCACCAGGGAAGCGCGGGACCGGACCGCGCCGCCCGGGGGGCGCTCGGGGTCCCCTCGCCTCCGGCGCCCAGGCGGCTCTGGCTCCAGCCCCTGCGGCTCCCCGGGATGCTCTGACTCGGCGCTTGCTGCGAGCTCGGTTGCCTCCGGTCTCAGACCCCGTGGCTTCCTGGGCTGGAGCCCCAAGAAACAGCGCCCGGCTCGGGATGCGCGGGGAGAGCCTGTGGCGCCGGCGGAGCGCACGCACGGCTGCCTGGCGCCCGCCTCCCAGCACCCCTCCCCGCGCTCTCCGCGCGCCCCGCGCC